GCCAAGACACATCCACAGCCCAGATGACCAACAACAGCCCCACTGACAGTGGCCACGCGCTGGACGTGGACACAGGGGCATCAGCCTCAGAAAGGGAGGCTGTCATATGCTGCAGAGTGTACATGAAGTGAAAGGACCTAGGAATATGAAGACAAAGAGTGTGTGATTTCACTTACATGTGAAATCTTAAAAAATAAAAAATAGACAGATATAGAGAGTAGAATGGAGGTTTTATTTTTATTTCTTTCATTTTTATGTATTTAGTACAGGGTCTTACTACACAGCTTGGACTCGTAGTGATCCTCCTGTTTTCAGCCTCGCCAGTGCGGGGATTACAGACACTGGAGCACATGAGAGATCTGTTTTTAGATTTTTGCTGAACTCAATTTTCAGTCTAATTTCATCTTGATGGGAATGGGCCACACGGCTGCTACTGCGGTCCTAGAGTGGAGCTGCGGTACAGCCCTTCTGTCCTGAGGTATAGTATAGGCCAGGCCCAGACCCCAGCTCTCCACCCCTTCAAACCAGCCCTCAGACTCAGCACTTTTCAAGGAGAGAAAGATGAAAGAAAAGCCAAGAAAATAAAAGGGAAGGATGACACAGAGCTGCAGGAGGCTTTGAGACAAGAGAGGAGAGAGCAAAGGGGAGGGAAGAAGCCCTGAGGCAGAGGGAAGGCAGAGGCACAGGCGAGGGAAGCCACAAACTCTGTGTACACCTGCTGCACAGCAGTCACTCTGTATATGTTGGGGACAAGGACAAGGAATGGCCGCAGTGCCACCATCAATTGCTTTCTTACCCGAGTGGGTCACAGAGCACCGTAAGACTCCTAAAGAGAGCTGGGCTCCTGTCCCTTCTGATCTCTCCATCTTGGAGGAACAGAGACAGGGCATTCTAGTACTTGCTTCTGGCCGTGGGCCTCTTCACCCCCTGTCCATATGAACTCACTTCGGAACAACCTTTCTACAGCCACAAGAAACTGCTGAAGGCACAAACTGGAGTATCACTAAGCTATAAAGAAAGACAAAATCGAGGCTTTTTTATGTAAATGGATACAACTAGATACCATATTCTTAAGTGAAACAAATTAGACTCATGTATAAACATTATGTTGTCTCCCTAGTGTAAGAAACTGATAGCAAATAAAATCCAAAAAATACAACTGATATTGTGAAAAGGAAAGAACAACTGGGATGGGGGAAATGAGAAAAGAAGGAAGGGGGAAATATCTATCTATCTATCTATCTATCTATCTATCTATCTATCTATCTATCTACACACACACACACACACACACACACACGATAACTAAGATAATTTTACTACTGATTTCTATTAGTTCATTGAAAGGAACAGTTAGTGCTTATATAGTTTAATCAGTTTTACATGCCTACATCTGGTAATCTGGGCAACTACTTTGAAGACAACATTCAATATAATAACAATTGTTAATATCCTACCATCTTGTTTAGAAATTCTGTATCTGTTTTATTTATTTTTATTCTCTTTAAAATACATTTAAAAAACAACTCTGCCTTTTTGCAGGCATGATGGCACTACAGAAAGATGAGCCAAGAGGACCTCAACACAATCTGGACAACTTAGTGACTATGCAAGTCTGTCTCAAAAAGGAAGTGGGGGGGGGAAGGAAGGAGAGAAGGAAGGAAGGAGCGGTGAGGGGAGGGAGGAAGAGAACGAAGGAGAGAGAGAAGGAGGGAGGGAAGGAAGGAGGGGTGGAGGGAGGGGTAGAAGGAGGGGTGAAGGGAGGGATAGAAGGAGGGATGGGTAGAGAGAGGGAGGAGGGAGCGAGGGAGGGAGGGAGGGAGGGAGGAAAGCATGGAGGACCAGGGATGTATCTCGGTAGTTTTAATGTCCAGTACTACTACGAAGAAAAGCACAAACATTGTATTTCTTAATGTATCAAGGCTGAATTCAAGGTTTTCAGACCTCTTCATAAATTCCATCCCGCCCAACGTGGCTTTCTCTCCTGCACTTCTCACAGGGCCAGGCTGTCCTAGGTCTACATGCCTTGCGTCCAGTGCCACTCAAACTGGCATCACCTACTCTGGATCCCACAATGCTTTCCTCCTCTGCATTACCACAGAAGCTGGATGTCTCTACTACCTGCTTATTACAAAACATGCTCTCACTTATGCATTCATTTTCTTTACTGATTACAATACAACTCTTTGGAGGCAATGAAGACCATTTTCCCCTACTTGTAACCCTCCAGTGTCTACCACAGCGCTATCTGACAAGGGGACACGAGGTAGATTTATCTTTTGGTCTGCACTAACATGTGAAGCTCTCTAAAATAAGAGCTAAACAGTGGTGGTCAGCCTACAGCACACATGTCTTAGTAGGCTATTTGCTATCACTGAAAGCTCTGAGAAGTTCACTATCACTGAGCTAAGACAACTGCCTTATTGTAAGGTGTTGCAGCCAGCTATTCAAGTGGCTGAGGTGGGAAGACCATAAATTCAAGGCTACCTTGGCAAAACCTTGCTCAAAATTAAAACAAACATAGTTGGTGGAGGGAGGGAGTTTAGCACTCACTGCATTTAATGTTCAGTATCACAGAAAAACAAAAAGTGAAAGTAAAGAGGGTCAAGGTCAAGTGGCTTTCTTTGGATTGCCTTAAAGGAGACATAATTTATAAGGTAATGACATTTCTAGTAATTATCAATGCCATTTACCAGGGCAACTACTGAACTTGGTGCTCTATACAATAAAGAATAGGTGCCTTCAGTCAGGCTGAATGGGGCTACTGCCGGAAGCACCTTTGCAAAGATTTTACGCCATCATTTCATGTTTGAGATACTTTACAGAGCGTAAGCAGTAACTTCTACATGATCCAGGTAATTGTTTTATTCAACACCAAATGAAGTGATGGGAAGCTTCTAGAGTTTTCAATGATTATAAACAGCCTACTGTGGCATGTGGGCCAGAAGTTCGCCATCACTGCCCTGAGGTGTATGAAACACACATTCTAAGAAGTGGATGATCCGTCTATCTATTCTGAGTAAGTGCGGTCATCATTTACGACAATGCCAACGAGTCTAGACTTCAACCCACTGGTGAAAGTGAGTCAGGAAATTGGATCCTATTTTAGCTAGAACTGTAAAAGGTGGGCTGTAAGTAGGAAAGATTAAGGTCAGAAAGACTCCATGGGGCCACAGATTAGTGTTTTCCAAAGTGGGGTGTGTCTACCCTAGGCAGGATGAGCCACTAGGGGGAATTTTAACAATTGGCACTGAGATATGACATAAATACTTATAACTGTACAAAGATGGTTTGCAAGTTCTAGAGATTTTTAGTGAATTCCTGAGGCACTGGGAGATGGTTATGGTCAGTGTCTGAGGTAACCTCAAGGGAGAGAGAGGGGTAGAGGGCACTATAATGTGAAATGACCACACAGGACTCCCCTTTGTTTCTGACCCGTGTTCAGCATACACCCTGGACCTGATTTAGTATTTAGTGATTATCCATTAAGTTCTGTTTTTACAAGACAATAGCTAGAACTCAAGGAAGAAAACAGAACTAGAGTTCCTACCAGGAACAGTGACCTAATGAGGTACAAGATTGGGCATGAAGGACCTGGAGGAGGTAGAGACTGTCACCCTGCAGTGTGTCTCAATGCCACCTGCCTGAGGAGCAGTCCCTGGGTGAATGACTGCTTTGTGGGTATAAAAAGAGGTTCTCAGTACGTGTGTGTGTGTGTGTGTGTGTGTGTGAACATCAGAAAGAGGAAAAAAGTCCTAAATTTTTAAACTTGTCTTTCCACCCCCAACAGAAGAAGAAAAATGTGTTCTGGCTACATTGCCATTAAAAACAACTTGAGAAAGAGACTCCTACACAGCGAGTTGTTCAGGAAGAACTGTGCTACACTGACAATAATCAATGCTAATAATTGAGGCTAATATGTTTTGGATAGAAGACAAGAATAAATTAAAGAAAAGCTCGGAAATAACAGGGCAATGAATGATCATCTTAAAAGGACCAAACAATCTTTTAATTGAACATTTAATTTTCTTCCCGGCACTGTTTATCTTTTTCTCCAGCCGGGTACTCACACTGTTACACATTTTAAAAACTGAAATATGCAAGAGGTTCTGGCATTTACAGGAGTCATAGCGTAGCTATGGGTGAGCTGGAGGGCAAGACGGGCAGTCTCAGGTTCCAAACCACTGAGCTAACGCAGGGGGTCCTCAAAAGGAGGGGCTGGATTTTGACTCCTGTGGACAAATGTGTGTGGATACGTTTTGGGTGGTGACAATGGCATGTGGTGGTGGGGGGGAGCAGTTGGTACCTCCTAAGCAGAAGCCCGGGATATTTCTCAGCATCCTACAGGGTACAGGAGAGCCTTCTCTAACAAAGAATGATCTAGGCCAAAATGTCAACAGTGCTTAAGGTGAGAGTGATCCAGCTAAAGAGAACTGGTCTGCAGGGGACTAGAGAAAGCAGGGGTGTTTCCAGATCATTACTTCGGGATCTGCTGGAGATATGCCATGGACAGCTCTGCTGTCAGGGAGGTTACCAATCCTAAACATGCTTCCGCACAGTGCCATCACTTTCAGTAGTAAAATATCTTTTAAACTCAGCTCTGCCAGAATAGGGAAGGTCCTTGCCCACCACACTGCATAGAGTAGATCTATGAAGATGTTTTTATATTCCTACCATCAAACATGGTCAACACTCGAAAAAAAATGAACTGAATGAAAGAAAAGAAAGACAGAAACAAATTCTTGCTGGGATATTACTTTCGCGTTAACCAGTTATGAAAAATTAAAAGCTGTTGGAAAAAAACAAACAAACAGAAAACAGGCAGATACAACTGAGATGCAAAGCCCAGCATACTACATAGTGCCCCATTCCTAGAATGTGGTCCTGCAAAGCAAAGTCTCTCATCGGCTCTCACAGTATGGAGCGCTACTCAAATATAAGCATTGGTAAGATTATAAAGCACTCCTTTCTGAGTTAAAAGCACCGTCAGGATGCCGCACCTGAGATAGCTTTGTTGTGGTGGCAGGCAGAAGCGGCCGGCTGAACTTCTTCTGAGAGCCAATGGCTGCTGGAAACGGAGGGGCAGAAAACACGGCGGCGACGCAGTTGATCCTGTTTATCCACCCTTGCATTTCCTCTGGGCTCCTGCGAGAAACAGACATTTATGTTAGTAAATTTTCACATTTACACCGATCGTAGTATGCCCACTAAATCCCTAGCGATTCTTCAGTGGGAACCAATGTTCTCTATGGTGATCACTAGCACAGATTAAGGCTCTGGAATCTGTCATCAGAGTGTGATACTGATTATCCCTTTAGAATATGGAAAGAGAAAACAAGACAAATATATTTATTAGACTTCTACCTTCTGTTTGATATTAGGTTAGGTCAAAAACTAGCTACACATTAACTCATCTCTTCTAGTCACATCATTTTTATTTTGGAGTTCAACTAAGGCACAGATTGACAGAGAATGCAAAAGGCTACATCCACTTTGGAAAACAGTTTGAGAGTATCTACAAAAGTTAACTATAAATTTATCATACAAGTCAGCAATTCTATTCCTATGTAGGTACCTACACAGCATTTGTACATCAATATTTGTGGCATGGACAGAGACATAGTTCAGCGGCATAAACATGTGCCTGGTAAGGGCAAGGTCCTCAGTTCAATCCCCAGTACCAAAACATAAAAAAATAATATCAGAAACAATCCAATGGAAGATAAGATACATAAAAAAGAATCCAAAAAAATTCATAGCATCCTTATTCTAAGGATCAAAAAGTGGAAAAAATATCCAAATGCCCAACAACTAGTGAGTGAATAAACTGTGGTAAATCTATATAATAAGACAGTATTCAATAAAATGATGAGGTACTGTAGCATAGATTAAGCCCCACACTTTATCTTAGGTTTGCTAGGTGACAGAGCCAGATAAAAAAGATCCCATGTTACGTCATCCCACTTACATGAAATGTTGAGGAAAGGCAAGAGAGGGACAAAAAGTAGTGCATGTGTGGGGCTGGAGGCGAGAAGGGAGTGAAGCTAAACGGGCACGGGGTCTCTGTGGAATGTTGGGAGCTGTTCATTTTAAACAGAATAAAAACCCCAAAATGATAGACAATTTCAAAACTAAACAGTGGGAAATTAACAATGGTTATTATACTGAATATCGCTATCATCAAAGTAGTCACTCAAGCTAGCAGATACAGCCATACAATTTGAACAATATAAACACTATCTGTTCTTTTCAAAAACAAGTGAGAATTTATGGTATGTAAGGCACAGTACAGGAAAAACACTAAAATCCATCTGAGTAGAGATGGAAATCATTGCATGTCATAATCATATTTTTAAATTATGTATCATTATGTCCTAAGCAGATGTTTATAAATTCAAAAATGAGTGGCAGAAATGGGCATGGACCAGGAAGGGTTACCCACCATGTGTACAGTCATAAAGAAAAGATGAGAAAGTGTTAGCCAAATCCACAATTATTTCCTTTTCTGAACACACTGGAAGAAAGCCCACTACGCTGAGACCACAGTGCTGATCGAGTCCTCAGTGGGTCTCATATGCCTCTCTAGTGTGCTTGCTCCAGTGCTGTTACTTCGGTTGACTAAACTGCATCAATCCCACATGTAGTAACTAGATTTCCTTAGGTCTATACCAGGTATTTCAGACTTCAAATAATGTAGAAGAGAATCATTTGAAAGACTCTCTATGCCTAACAGCTGTAACCAGGTATCTAGCTATGAGTCCCGCTGTGTTCAATGCCCTATGTCCACACTCAGACAATCCTGTTTGTTTTCCTGTAGCACCTGATGCCAGCACTTCTACGCTCTTCAAAGTTCTACGCCCAAACGAGTAGGAGATCTTGTTCTCATTTACTTTTTGATGTCGCACTGTTTGATCAACAACCACACATATGCTTGCATTTACTACTTTCAATGTCATATTTTAATCCTAGCATCACCTGGGGTCAGCTGATGGGACAAAGCAGATTCTGAAGTTAGGCTGAAGCCAGAAATGACTTAGCGCTGTCTGCTAGGTTGACACTACGTGTTACCTCTACTGAAGCTTCTGCTCTTTCAAGCTGTATTTTGAAAAATCCAAAGTTTCTCACTTCGCAAATGCAGAATTACTTATGCATAATGCTCTAATTCTAGTCTGAAGTCACTGGACCACCTATGAAACTCGTAATATATCCCTTTCTATGTTGGCAATATGATTTCATGTTTTCTAGTCGAGTCACAGACTTCTAGCACTCAGAAGGGAAACTAGAACAAAATGGAAAATTCTGTGAAGTGCCTCATGCACTTAGTTCATTTAATTCTTACCAGAAATGTATGACATAAACATACTACCTGTAGTAGTAACAAGCCAAGGATGAAGGAGGTTAAAGATCATGTATTGTGAATGAGACCACGAGCTACTGATTCAAATTGGTATCTGTATCAATAATTTTGCAAGGGAACATGTGTACTACAACTCTCATTTTGTTGATAAGGATACTGAGTTCTAGGGATGATAAGCAGCTAATTAAAGTCACGGGGATACTAGTAACATATGGTGGCAGGGTCTCTGACATTTATGTGAGTTGTCTCAGTTATTTCTTTAATGTAACCTGTTCATGGGCCTGGCTCTACTTCAGAAACTTTTCCTGACAGAGCCAGATCTTATTCCTTAGTACAAAATAGTGGCAAGGAAACTAAACATTAAACACAAATAAGAACCAAAGCAAAAAGACATACTGGGTTTGAAAAAGCAAGACCCTCCAGTCGGCAGTTTTGAGTTTAAACACATTCGGCTTCTTCTCATAGTCTGTGGCCTTGGATGCCAGGGCGTGGTGCACACTCACGGCATTTTTCAGGTCCTCCTCGGACAAGGCCTTCTCTGGCTTATATTCATCCTACAGAGGGATACAAAGAAAACAGATAAGAGGGTCAGATTTCACCGTCTCCCTTTAAAACCTGTAGCTAGAGGAAATGATTGCAGAGAAATCCATACAAGCGTATGAAAAAGAGGGCAATGAACGGCAAGTAAAGCTTTGCAAATTTGTAAATGCCACACAATAGCCTGTTGTTTGAAACAACTGTGGAGAAGAAACAAGCTAGATAACTGAGGGACCTTTTACAGAATGCTAATATAGAATAATTAAGGCAGAAGGGGGTTTGTCACACACATTCTGCGTCCAAAAGTGTGCATACAGTTGCTAGGTCAAAAGGAAAAATGCAAAAACTTATACGTAACAACAGAATCATCCTGCTGATGGAAACACTGCCACTGTATTCTTTGCTCTAATATCAAAATATGTTGCTACTGCTTTTGGTGAGTGAATATTGTCCAGAGAAAAATGAACACTAAAGTGATTTCTCTAGCTCTTTTCAAAAAGAGGAAAATAAATGCAATAAACAAGAGAAAGCTTATTTCTATTATAAATAGCCCCCCAAAGCAAAATTATATAAGAATGGCGTCATATACATGCAATTTTATATTTGGACACCAACTGCACAATGCATCAAGTTTATACAGAATCCTTTGAATCACATTCCTTCAAACAACAATCATAACAAAAATTTCATAAAAAATTAGAATTTTTACTATTTCCAGAAGCTCCTGGGTTTATTAGATTAAAAAGACCCACCACCAATGTGAATATACTACCTAAAGGTGTATTCTAGAGCTGAAGGTCCCTTTTCCTATATTTTAGCAAAATGAGATATGAAGGCACTGACATTTCTCCTGTAAAAACACACACACACACACACACACACACACACACACACACACACACATATGTTGCGCTTCTCCCCAATAAAGACACTACTTTCTAATCAGTGAGAAAAGTCTAACTTTTGCTCTCTCATCACAGCCTGGACTTAACAAACTTTCAGAGAAATAATTACAGTTCTCTGTCTCTTCCCTTCTTTTTCATCAACACCATCCACAAGTCAAGCAATTTAAATGTATCATCCTCAAGTCAAGCTGAGTAAAAAGTAAACAGGCCTTTTCGACCTTTAATGACCACTCTCCATGATCTTGACAGGGAAAGTTTTGCCTCAGAAATATGCAGTACATACCATTAACAACATACTGGGTATCCAAGTGCGTATCATCAGATGACAGAGTTTCTACACTGTGATTGTAACAAGTCTTACTAAGCTTCACATTTTATAAAACCTGCTTTTTCTTTTTTAATTTTTTTTTTTTTTACAATGAAAGCCTTCTAGAGAAGTAAGGTAAATATAGGAAAATAAAAAGAAAATATTTTTCTGCTGGATGGTTAAGACCAAGGTAAAGCAGGACCTATGCAACAAGAGTTGTAGCTTTTGGATCTGATAAGGTCAGTGAAATCCCCTCAGGATTTATCCTGAGATCCTGTACCTCAGATTGTAGAACCTTTGTCAGTGCAGCCATGTGGATGAGTCACGGCCATTGCTTGGCCAATGTGCTCTCTGTGAAAGCCTGAGAGAATGTTTTCTCTCCATGTGACTCTCCTTAGGCATGCTCTACATCATCTATCACTTTCCTCTTTGGCCCCATAATCTCCTTGATCAGAAAATTTGGGACACTACCAAACTACATGATGTTACAGTACAAGTTCTCATATGTCCTGAGTCTTAACTGACCTTGGAAGGCTAGGGCCAAAATGTTGGCTTTCCTTGCGGCCCTCCTTTTTCTCTAATTTTGGTCTGAAAACTTAGGTTGTTAACCATCCAGAAGACAAGCTTATTGTTATTACCATACAACCTAGACTGTTAAGCAGAAAAGTATAAAAACGAAGTATAAGAAGTAAAGCCATGGTGATATGTTGAGCTGTAGGCGAATCAGGTCAATAATTTCTGACATTGCCAGTGAAGCAGAAGACTCAGTACTATTATGGACTACTGAACTCTTTTAGAATATTTTGCTCAGTTTACACACCTATAATATTTAACTGATGGAACTTAACAAAAAAGGGGATACAGATGAATGTCCATTTTGTTTCTGTGTATTCAAAGTAGTTAGGATAGATATACAGTTACGTTCTCTTAATGAATAGAGGGATTTGTTCTAATGGTGTTTGCAAATAGGATATCAAGTCCGCATCTTGTACAGCAATTAACCACTAGGAAGAATGTATGCAATGTGTTAATTATTGAAACTGTCCTACCAATTTGGTTTGAAACTGTCTCACTGCTATTTGTTTTTCAATAAAATTATGGAAAAATATTAAAATAAATGCAATAACTTTATATATGTTTTTATATGGCTGCCACTAATTTATACAAATGGTTTGAGGTCTTTCTTGTTTTTAAAATGGATTATTTTTTCCCTTTCAGCGATTTAGTATTCCACATTCGTGCATCTCCTTTCCCGGGGGAATTTTATTAGAGTAGAACTATTAAGTAGATTTGCCATGAATACAAAATTCCCTCTCTGGCCTTAGGGTTTACTATTCTAGAATTTTACATGCCTGGTCGTTCAACCAAGGTAGTGACTTTTCCAAACAGGAATCTGACGTACATAAATCATGGAGATACATGACCTGGGCCAAAATGCCTTTCACAGGATTTCTATGCAGCCTCTCTTCCACATATTATACTGATTTGTTAGGATATCTAATATTTGGGCTGGCACAGAAATTAGACTAGACATGTATATATACACTTTTTTCTCTGTTGTAGGCCCACAGTTTGGGATTTTATCTTAATCTTTCCTACTTTTCTTTGGGCTTTTAGTGTTTGCTTTAATTTCTTAATATAATTACTTGCTTTTCCCATGTCTTTACTAATTAAGGAAAGTTGAAGACCATACTTTTTTTTTCTAAATATCATGATACCTAACACAGTTTGGGAATAAAATTGTTTTATCATCGCTTTCTACATGGCTACAGTTTTAAGTTTTGATCTTAGTAGCATCATGGACAGTACACTGTATATCACCTGCCATACTGTTCAGTGTGCTTAAGATAATAATCACTATCTTCCTTACAGCTGTGTGATCTTCATTATTTTAAAATGTTCTTCCTTACCTTACATAACCATGTAAGATAGGAATTTAAGATTCTCTTCTACCAAAAAATGCTATTTCTTTGCTCCTTATGCATATGACAACACCTTTCATAATAGTTTAAGCCTGTCAGTATTTAGCCTAAATTTTGCTAAAATAGTTTAGTATGTTTTATTTTGCAATATTACTAACATTATATTACATTACACATTCTGTTTTGAAAAATCTTATTTTGTATTTATATCGCACATGTCCTGCATCTTGCATTATTCTTTTAGATTTAATTGCCTACTCTTTTAGATTTCATTTGGTTTCATTGTTCATCTACTTCCATCATCTTTTTTTGCATTATAACTTTTTTATTTTAAAGAAAAAAGTAACAAGAAACAAAACAGTGATACAGAATTTCAAAACAGGATAATAGGAAATTAACAATGGTTATGATATTGCATACTGTTATCTTCAAAGTAGTTGCTCAGATTATAAGATATAGGCATGCTAAACTGATCAAACAGTATAAGCACAAACTATTCCTTTCAGTGAACTAACAGAAATCAGTAGTATAATTATCTTAGTTATCTTATGTATATATGTAATTTTTTCTTGTTCTCTCATCCCAGATGTTTTTTTTTTTTTTTTTTTTCTTTTTAAACAGTTTCTTTCCCTTTCATAATACCTACTGTGTATTCTGGATCTTATTTACTCTTTAAATTTCTTCCCCTAAAGAGACAATATGATGGTTATACACGTGAGTTTTGATAATCTTTTTTTTTTCAAAGTTTTATTGACAAACAGCAATGAGACAGTTTCAAATCAAATCGGAAGTACAGTTTCAACAAATAATACACTGCATATATTCTTCTTAGTGGTTAATTGCTGTACAAGCTGTGGACTTGAGATCCTATTTACAAACACCATTAGAACAAATCATTCTATTCATTAAGAGAATACAACTATATATCTATCCCAACCTCTTTGAATACACAGATACAAAATGGACATTCATTGGTATACCCCATTTTTTCTAAGTTCCGTTATTGAATATCATAGGTGTGTAAACTCAGCAAAATATTCTAAAAGAGTCCAGTAGCCTATAATAGCATTGGGTCTTATATTTAACTGGCAATGTCAGAAATTATTGACCTGAGTCCCCCACAGCTCAACTTAACAGCATGGCTTTATTTCTTATATTTCGACTTCATACTTTTCTACTGGATGGTTAAGACCAAGGTAAAGCAGGACCTATGCAACAAGAGTTGTAGCTTTTTGGTCTGAGAAGGTCAGTGAAATGCCCTCAGGATTTGTCCTGAGATCCTGTACCTCAGATTGTAGAACCTTCATCAGTGCAGCCATGTGGATGAGTCACGGCCATTGCTTGGCCAATGTGCTCTCTGTGAAAGCCTGAGAGAATGTCTTCTCCCCATGTGACTCTCCTTAGGCACACTCTACATCATCGATCACTTTCCTCTTTGGCCCCATAATCTCCTTGATCAGAAAATTTGGGACACTACCGAGGAGTTTTGATAATCTTATCTGAACTTTTCATTATTTTGTAATCTCTCACATACTTGCCAGGGGGATGGGGAGATAGCTCAGTAGAATAAACGCTTGCCTGGCAAGCACAACGGCCTGAGTTCAATCGCTAGTTCTGCAACAAAAAAAAAAAAAAAAAAAAAAAAAAAAAAAGAAAAAAGAAAGAAAGAAAGATATATGGTGTACTGTGTACTTTTCCAGGTGGGTGCTTTTTCTTCTTCTCCTTCTCCATTTTTTTTTTTTTTTTTTTTTTTTTTGGTGGCTGGCTCAACCCACCCTAGGGGTGGGGCTGGCACAGCATGTGGTGCCAAGGATCAAACCGCAGTCCTTGCACTTGCCTAAGCAAGCACTTTAGACCACTGAGCTATCTTTTTCATTTTAATA